GAAAGGGAGAGGAGCAAGCACAGGGCGGGTGAAGGGCGAGTGAAGAAGGAATAAGAAGAAGGCGAAGAAATCAACGAGAATCCCAAGACACCGAACCTGAGTCTGTCTCGACCTCCTTGAGCTGCTCTTGATGCGCCCTGCCGGATGCTCTGGAAGGTTTGGCAGAATAACCTGTTCACATTTGTAGACCTGCGTCTTTCTTTTTGTCGTTCAAAAGACTAAAACAAATATTAATGGCATTTTATTAGCGTTTATGCGGTTTTATTTCTTTTCTTTTTTTTTACATTATTTTCAATTGAATTGCACGGTATACAAGGAAGAGAACCTTTTTTCACTGTATGGGAAGGTTTCCTCCCCCAGTTTAGTACGTCCTACAACTTAAAAAAAAAACGCTCACTATTAACTCAGCATGAAATTAATAAAGGATTTTTTTAAGGCCAACTTGCTCTCGAATTCAAACTTTGCTGAGCAGACTCCGCAGAGATTTTGCGTCGCAGAGTCTTCCGTATCTGAAGTTGCGTGCATCAACATGTCGCATTTTCTAAGTTGTAGGAGATACGCAAACAGACGATAAATTGCAAATAGAGAAATGAGAATGTTAATGATATTTCAGTTGATTGAGTCGCGAGAATGTGAAGTGCATGAACGCGAATGAATGACAAAATTTTCAATCTTTTACTCGACTTTACCTTTTGGCTTCTCGCGTGTGGAACAACCAAGGGAAAGACAAACAAAAATGCTCGTTTATTTTATTTTATTTTCTTCTTCCTTTCTGGGGGAGGGGGGGGGGGTGAGAAGCCAAAAGAAAATGCTAGTAACAAGGATAAAGTTTCAGAGCGTGAAATGTCATTAGGAACTTATTATTAAATTATAATTGCGATGATGATAATAGTAGCTGTAGTAGTAGCAATAATAATAGAAGTAGTAGCAGTAGTACTAATAATAAGAATGATTATAATGATGATAATAATATTAATAATGATAATAACAAATATTATTGTCATTGTTACTATTATAGCTTTTCATATGCAAGGCAAAGGAAGTTATTCCATACAGTTATTCCACTAAGAAGGAAGGTTACAACTAATAATATTGATAATGATATTGATATTGTTAATGATAACGATAATATTTTCATTGCCATTAATAGCAATAGTAGTAATAGTTCATTATTATCATCATCATTATTATTATTATTATTATTATTATTATTATTATTATTATTATTATTATTCATTATCATTATTATTTTTATTATTATTATTATCGTTATTACTATTATTACCATCGTCATTATTATTACCATTATTATTATTATTAACATCGTCATTATTATTATCTTTACTATAAATATCATTATCATTATTATTAGTATCATCATCATTATTATTACTACTATAATCATCACTATCATTATTAGTAGCAGTACCAATCTATTGAAATTATGTAGATAATATTGTCCTTAATTCAGCTTATTAACTAATACATTTTTAATAAAGTATAATATCAAGTTCATTTTCTTTTCCTTTACAAACAACAAACCCAAGGCACACGCATCGCGCCATATTTCAGGGATCGCTTGATGGCAAGATTTTGAAAATTGCCATAAAGGGTGCCACGCAGGTTATTTATTCATTTATTATTCACACAAGTTATCTACCACAGAGACGACATATTAAGACAGAGATAACACAAAGGGTCTAAAGAGACATGTTATTTATCCCTTAATATTCGCTTCCGTTAGAATGTTTATTCTTTATGTGTTTGTTTAAGCATTACCAGTAATTATTTATTTTCCTTTTTTCCTTTTTTACTTATTAGGTTCGTTATTACCATTTAGATTTTCACTGTTAGTTATTCGTTGTATCATTATTCGTGTTTCATTATCACTTATACTAATTATTAATATCACTTCTCCATTGTTAGTTATTAGTAATATTTTAGTTATTCTTTAGACCTTTAGCTAATACACTTCTTATGACTTTTTGTAATTATGGTAATAACAGTGATGCTAATAATATTGATAATAATAATGAGTGTAATACTATTGGCAATGGTGATGATAATGATAATGATAGTGATATTGATGAAAATCGTATGAAAATATTAATAATTCATTACTCTTATTATTATCAACGCTATCATTATCATTATCATTATAATTTTTAGAGTTAGTATTGGTATTATCATCATTTTTTATCATTATTACTATTATCATTATCATTATCCATATAATTATTGTTATCAGTATTATCTTTATTATAATTATTAAAATCATTTTCATTATCATCATTATCATTATCTTTCTCATTATCATCATTATCATTCATTATTTCTATTATCATTACCATTATTATATTATCAATATTATCATTATTATCATTATTATTATCAGCATTATCTATTATCATATCATTATATCATCTATTATCATTATCATTATCAATCATCATTATCAATCATATATCAATGTTATATTATTATCATTATCATCATTATTTTTCATTATTATTATTAGTTATTACATTACTATCATTATCATCATCATTTATTCCATCACTAAGATTATCATTATCAGAGAGAGAGAGAGGAAACAATGGTGGTAATTATTGTAATAGCTCTGATCATTATGAGGATAAGATTACCAGCAAAAATTATGATAACAAAAACAACAACAAAAATAACTGCAACAACAAATAATTAAAAATACTGCAACTACCCACGATGAAAATGATAAAAGTAATGATAACAATAACAATGATAATGATCATAACAGTAGTAGTAATAGTAGTAGTAGTAACTATATCAACAGTAATTGTTATTATTATCATTATAATTACCATAATAAAAGCAATGAAGATCATAATGATAACAAGATAGTAACATGATTATGATGATAATGACAATGATAATGGCAATGCAAATTATAATTGCGATGATGATAATAGTAGCTGTAGTAGTAGCAATAATAATAGAAGTAGTAGCAGTAGTACTAACAATAAGAATGATTATAATGATGATAATAATATTAATAATGATAATAACAAATATTATTGTCATTGTTACTATTATCATTATTATCCTTATGATTTGTGTTATTGCTTTTATCATTACTGCCATTATCATAATCATCATTACTATTATTATTATTATCACCATTATTTTTTTATCAATATCATATATTATTATCATCATGATTACTATCATTATCATTATTATTATCATTATCATCATCATGATTATCCTTTATTCTTATTATCATTACTATCATTAATAATACTATCTTCATCAATATTACTGGTATCACTATTATTACTATTACCATTACAAATAGTAATAGTAGTAGTAGTAGTAGTTAATATATCATCATTATCAATATCATCTTCATCTTCATCGTCACTAGCAATACTATTATCATTATCATTATTATAAGAATTAATATTATAATCATTATTCTTATCATCAAAATCATTAATGCTATCAATTATTATCATTATCATCATTATAGTTATTATTGATATTTTTATTATTATTATTACCATTATCATTATTATCATTATTATCATTATTATCATTACAACAATAATACTAGTAATGATAATGGTGACACTGATCATACAAATGAAGATGCTGATGTTGATAAGAATGATAATATAAAAAATATCGGTAATGAAAATAGAAAGTTGAGGATAATCGCATTTATTACAGTTAATAATTAATTAATACAGTTAATAATTAACACAATTAATGATTAATAATCCTCATTATTAGCGATTACAATACCATCGTTGAGAATGATAATGATGAAGATAACAGAAGTAATATTAATAGCAGTGATGGTAAAAGGAAAACAGTGATGATAGGACGGACAAATCGAGGCTAAAAATGATAATGAAAGGAGAGGAAAATTAGAAACAGGATTTATTTTAAATACAAAACGGAGGGAGTTTATTTTCAGCGTTTTGATTTTACGCTTCATCTCTCTCTCTCTCTTTCTCTCTCTCTCTCTCTTTCTCTCTCTTTCTCTCTCTTTCCTTTTCTCTTTCTCTTTCTCTTCTCTTTCTCTTCTTTCCTTTCTCTCTCTCTCTCTCCTCTCTCTCTCTTCTCTAATCTCTCTCTCTCTCTCTTTCTCTTCGCCTTCCTCCCTCTCCCCTCCCTCTTCCATCCTTCCATCCTTTCCTTCTTCTTCCATCCTTCTATCCTCCCTTCCATCCTTCCATCCTTCTTCTATCCTTCCTTCTATCCTTCTCATCCTTCCATCCTTCCTTCTATCCTTCCATCCTTCCTTCTATCCTTCCATCCTTTCCATTCATTCTCCTACCTTCTTCCCTCCCTCTCTCTCTCTCGCTCTGTATTCAACTTCCCAGCCCTTTTCCCCCTTTCCCCCTATCTCCACCCCTCCTCTCTCCCCTCTCCCCTCCTCCCTCTCTCCTCTCTCTCTCTCTCTCTCCCCTCCTCCCCTTCTCTCCTCTCTCTCCCTCTCTCCTTCCCTCTCCCTCTCTCCTCTCTCTCCCTCTCCCCTCTTCCCTCTCCTCTCCTCTCTCCTCTCTCTCTCTCCTCCTCTCTCTCTCTCTCTCTCGACCCATTTACTTGTCCCTCCTGTCGATGGCGTCGAAGGGCGGCGTGTCCGCGAGCCGCAGGACGTCCACCGTCTTGTAGATCGGGTACAAGCCGGCTTTTCTCGTCCTCTGGTTGACCCCGTGGATGAAGCCGTCGTGCAGGTTGCGGTGGTTGCTGTAGTGCCTCAGGACCTCCTTCACGCGGTCGCCCCTCTGCAGCTCGATTTCACTGTCCCTGAGGGGGCGGGGGAGAAGGGAGAGGGTCAGATGAGGGAGTGGGGGATGTTTGAGGGGAGGGGTAAGTTTTTGTTTTTTGGGGGAAGGGGGAAAAGGGGAGGGGGAGATAAGGAGGGTTTTTTCTTAAATTGGGGGATTGCTAGAGGCCTTATCAGGAGAGGTCAGAGGGAAGGCTGGGGGGGGGGGTGAGGAGGGTATGTTTGAGGGGAGGGGTCAAAGTTCTTTTTTTATTAGGGAAGGGGGGGGGGAGGGAGATAAGGGAGTTTTTTTGTTGTTTTTTGTTTTTTTGCTTTTTGTTTTCGAATGGGGGGATTGCTAGGGCTCTATCAGAAGTCAGAGGGGAGGCTGGGGGGGGGGGTATGTTTGAGGGGAGGGGTCTAAGTTATTTTATTTAGGGAAGGGGGTAGAGCGAGGTAAGGGAGGGTTTTTTCTTGAATCCCCCCATTATCATAGGTTTTATCAGGTCAGAGGGAAGGTGTTTTTTGTTTTTCTTCGCATTTTTGATGGTGGGTTCAATATCTTTTCTATCTCTTGTTCAATGACATTATTGTAGAAGAAATAAAATGATTGAATTTACAAGTCTGCCTTAAATTCATTAACGTTTTCTTTGTTGACGCGTTTAAGGATTATATATGTAATATCAGTATTTTGACTCTACGTTTGAGTCAGAGTAAGGGTTTAATTTGTACAATCCAGATCTATTTGATACACTTTTCTTTACATTGTTATTATGTCACAGAGTTTAGGTTTTCTAGAAGTACAAAAGGATTTACGTTCGTAGGCCTGCCAAGTTCTGTTAGCGCGAGACGCGTTGTTTTGTATTTCTCCTAAAATAGAGATTTTGACCTACAAGAAGTGTATGACGCCGAAGATTGTAAGTAATTATTATTATTTAGTGCCCAGAGAGGCTATTTACATGCCTAAAGTTAGGTAATTTGTGGAATATATTATGGAAATCGGAATAGAAATTTAGGCGTTTTGTTTGTCAGTTTCCAGTTCGATCGAGTGGAGAATGGACTAGTGTGGAGAAGGGAGTTTGTTTATGTTGTACGACCTTGCCCTAACAAATCCATTCCGTGACGAAATAGGCGTTTTTATCTTCAAACAGACATCACTGAAGAATTATATTCATATTTTCCTTGTCGTGGGAAGATGACATCTCCGCGACAGACATCTTTTAATCAGCAACAAATGAATTTAGAATAAGTAGTTAAGATGGACACCACCCATGACGATGGCCCGGAAACAAAATCCGAATGCGAGAAAAAATCCAGGAAGCCTTTTAAGGACATCATAAATGGCGACTGACCGAGAGGGAGGGAGAGAGAAGAGAAGAGAAACAAGAGACAGTGACAGAGAGAGAGCAATAGAGAACCATAGAGTGACAGAGAGCAATGGCACACATAAACAAAAAAAAACACGGAAATTGAAGAACGAAATTAAAACAGATGAAAAAAAGACAGGTGGACCGACCTGCGAGGCGTGTGGGGGAACCTCGCCTCCACCTCGTGGCCGCTCTGGTAGTGGAACCAATAAGGTGAGTCGACGGAGAAGACCTTTCTGGAGGCGTCTGCGTGGAGGGTCTGCATGAGCTCGTAGGCCAGGCGGCAGATCTGATCGAGGGTGAGATGATGATGATAATATTGAAAAAGATGATAATAATAATAATTTGGGCCCTGGCCAGGGAGCCCCCCCCCAAAAAAAAAAAAAAAAAAAAAACACACAATCCCCATCCAACTGAACCGAAAACAAGGGGGCAGGCCACAGGGCTATATATTAACTTTCATACCGTAAAACCATAAACCATAACCAGAGACCTACTTAAGTTCACTTTTTCTCAGTAACCACAAGGGGTTTGGGGGAATTTTTAGGTGTGTTAGAAAGGTCTTGAGGTCCTGCGTGGCTTAGGCTATGTGGCGTTCATATAAGGGGTCAGGACACGAAAAAACCCTAAAATACCTCTTAAATATTGAAGCAACAGTACATGGTTGCAGATTTATTAAGGGTGCTATGGAAACTTATCACAGAGTAAATTACTAAATTAGACTGGGTATGGTATGAATATTTTCATACCCCTTATAGACCCTTAAATACATCCCTAAACAACGGCAAGGGTTACAGAGGTGATCCAGGGTGCTATGGGAAGCTATCACTGAGTAAATGAGAATGGATATGGTTTGAGTACCTGTATACTCCTTTTAGACCCCTTAAACACCCCTAAACAACGGAAAGGGTTACAGAGGTGATCCAGGGTGCCATGGGAAGCTATCACTGAGTAAATGAGGATTGGGTAAGGGAGGTGACTGAAGGTGTTACAGAAGGCTATAATAGAGTAGAGGAGAATGGGCATGGTTTGAGTACTCGTATACCCTATATAGACCCCTTAAATACACCCCTAAACAACAGCAAGGGTTACAGAAGTAATCCAGGGTGCTATGGAAAGCCATCACATTGAAAATGAGAGTAGTATACACTTTAAAGACCCCTATGGAAGGCTATGATAGAGTAGAGGCGATTGGGCACAGTTTGAGATCTCGCATTCCCTTTAAATATAAAGGGCGGAGGTACATGAGACCTTTTCGGGGCGGCGCCTCTAAATTGCATTTTGATCATGTTAATAATAATAATAACCATAATGATGATGTTGATTATAATTATGGTGTTATTAATAGTAAAAATGATGCTACTATTAAATAACCATGATGATAACAATAATGGTACTGGTAGTAATAGTGATAATACTGATAAGAAGGAGGATAGTAATGATGAGAATAATAAAATTAAGGATGATGATAATGAGAATAACAATAGCTATAATGATAATACTAATAATACTAATACCCATAACGATGATACTAACAGTAATAATGATACTACTACTCATAATAATGACAATAATGATACTAATATAATTCCTAATTATTAATGATAACGACGATTCTGACGACCACCATCGCACAAATTTAGGCCTAATGAAGCCATGCCGTCGATAACAACAATACCTCCCAACGAAAAGAATGAAAAGGCTAAAACATCAAGAGGGACACTCACGTTGGACGACATGCCACACACGAGGAAATCCGAGCGAGAGAGGAAGTAAACATCGGCCAGGATGTTGTGGATGTTGGCCTCGCTCCTCCGCTCCTTCATGTTGGCGCTGGCGACGCTGTCCTCGTTGTACACGAAGGCGTGTTTGGGGAATCTGGAGGAGGCGGGGGGGGGGGGGGGTTAGAGTTTATACTTTGTTTAGGGGTGTCTGTGCGACCGTCTCTCTCTCTTTATTTCGTTCTCTCTGTGTGTCTGTCTGTCTGCCTCTCTCTCTCTCTCTCTCTCTCTCTCTCTCTCTCTCTCTCTCTATATATATAATATATATATATATATATATATATATATATATATATATATATTATATATATATATATATATATATTTTTTTTTTTTTTTTTTTTTTTTTTTTTTTTTTTTTTATTTTTTTATTTATATATATATATATATATATAATATTTTATATAGTTATTATATATATATATATATATGTATATATATATAATAATATATATATATATATAGTATATATACTGTGCATATATATGTGTGTGTAGACATATATAAATGCATACGAAAATGAATATAGCCACACTAAGAATAGAAAAATCGTAACGTTTCGAACTCTTTACGAGTTCCTCTTCAGACCTTTTTCAATTTTCATTGTAGCTATTTTCCATTTTCAAGTACACGTTACTGTGTTTGTGTTCATACACACACACACACACCCACACACACACACACACACACACACACACATACATATATATCTCCCTCTCTCCACTCTCTCATCGCTCTCGCTCTCTCGCTCTCTCTCTCTCTCTCTCTCTCTCTCTCTCTCTCTCTCTCTCTCTCCTCTCTCTCTCTCTCTCTCTCTCTCTTCTCCCTCTCTCTCTCTCTCTCCCTCTCTCTCCTCCCTTCCCTCTCCACCTCCTCTCTCTCCTCTCTCCACCTCCCTTTCTCCCTCCTCCCTTCTCCACCTCTCTCTCTTCTCTCTCTCTCCTCTTCTCTCTCCTCCCTCTCTCATCTCTCTCTCTCTCCTCTCTCTCTCTCTCTCTCTCTCTCTCTCTCTCTCTCTCATTCTCCTCTCTCTCTCTTTCTCCCTCCCTCTTTTCTCCCCTCCCCCTCTTTTTCCCTCCCTCTCTTTTTCTCTCCTCTCTTTCCTCTCCTTCTTTTTCCCCTTTCTCCCTCCTCTTTCTCCTTCTCTCTCTTTGTGTATATATATGTGTGTGTGTGTGCATATACATGTGTGTGTGTGCACACACACACACACACACACACACACACACACACATATATATATATATATATATATATATATATATATATATATATATATATATGTATGTATGTATGTCTGTGCACATATATATATGTGTGTGTGTGTGCATATATATATATATGTGTGTCCGCATATATATTCATGTGTGTGTGTACATATATATATATATGTGTGTGTGTGTGTGCGTGTGTGTGTGCCGTATATGTGTGTTTGAAATGGAAGAAAGCAGTAACCACCTCCTGGACACGGCCTCGCGCCCCTCGCCCCGGGCACGCCCACCCGAGCGAGCAGACCCGCCCGCCTCGGCATTCTTCCATCACAAAAACACAAAAACATCCTCGACCTTCAAAAGAGGCCCCTACGCGCACTAACTTCTCCTTGGCTTCCTTGAGGACCTGCGGGTCGTCTGTGGCCAGGTAGACCTTACGAGTCGTCACCGTCGTCCCCCGAACCTCCAGGTCGTTGTAGAAGTCGTCGACGGCCTCCATGTACTCCTCCAGTTCTATGAGTCTGGAGTCGTGAAGCAGCTTGTCTGTTCTTCTGACTTGCACTCTGAGGGAAGAATAGCAACGGCGGAACTAGTGAATGGAATGAGGGAGGAAGGGGGAAGGCTAGGTCAGTAGCAACTCGAGGTGTCATGGCGTTCCACAGGGCTATTTCGATGATTGTTCAATGAAAATATAACCATTAAAATCATTATTTTCCATCCTTTTTGGAAATTGAAAAGACCAAAATGATCGACCATATTCACAAAGCATCCTTAACTTTTATGACGTCATGAAAATGTGTTTTTTGTTTTGTTTTGTTTTTCAAAAATAGAATCACACGCCATGACACCTCCCCGAATGTGGAATGGTGTGATAACGACATTCATGTT